ACTTTGTAGTAATGATACATGGCGATTTATTTTAGATTTTTTTTTATATTTTTCAATGCACACGCAAGTGTTATATTACTTAGGTGCAATATAGTTTTTATAAGACGTATATAATTATATTATTTAGGATTCTAAAACTCTTATATTGTAAATTTAATAATAATAATAAAGTCACAATTAGTAAACTTTCGTGCAGAATATGATTTTGATATGTTCGAAATAACAATTTGACTTTTGACATTGATAACGAACATTACGCCATCTAGTTGTGAAGATGGGAACTTGAAAATAATTTCCAACAATTTTTGTCAAAAAAAAACAGCGTCCTTTCTTATTTATTTTGCAATATCAGTATCTACTCTGTAGATTGACTATAGTGAATTATTCGTGAAAGTAGTACCTACAGATGTTATATTTTAACTCACTATTTATTATTGAATATACAAATAATTTGGATACCTACTAATTTCATTAGGTATAAATTTTACTTGCAATAATTTATTTAACCACATGCCATTGAAGAGAAGCTTCTTGCGTATTATAAAAATCTAATATCCTAATAATAATAATAATTGAAAGCTTATAATGGCTATATCTCACAAACAAAAGATGATATCACCAAATGTCTAAAGCTGGTTCTAGTATACGAAAGGGGAACTTAAATGACAAAATACATAACTTACTCTCCCTATGTAGTCCAGTCATTTAAGCTTAAATTAGGTAAGAATCTCGGAATTCGAGATACCCAGCTGTAAGTCTGTAAATACTTGTATATTGACATTCTAAAAGTTGTCTCAAAACCAACATATGGTAAGGTGTACGCAACTATTAAATTTCAAGGTCAAAGGTCACAAAAATCGTTTTTTTGCGCTTTTTTTTGTAAATATCTCATTTCCTATGGTTTTTTTGCTATTTGTATTTATTATCAATATTGTAAAATACAAAATTATCTACAAATTTTGTTTAAAAAAATTCAGATTACAGTAAGAACGTAAAAGCTATGGAGCAGCAGAGAAGAACTGCTGCACTTTCAAAAACGTATGAAACAATGGTTGTACCAGTTACTCAAGAAAAATTCTTATCAAATCGAAATAACAAAGATATGCTCATTAATATGTTAATTGAAAAATTACAAGCTGTAAATATTACTACTAAACAAGCCAGAGATGATGCGGATGTTCTTATTGTTGAAACTGCAATTGAATAATCAAAGTCTGAAAAACTGCAGTTATAATAGGACAAGATATTGATTTACTTGTCATTTTAATTGGGCGTACACTGTCTTACGAACAAGAAATTTTCTTTAAAAAAGCTGGGAAAGGAAATGTAAAAACGGAGATATACTCGACTAAAAGTTTTGATAATTATCCTCATTCCAAAACACATATTTTATTTCTGCACGCATTAAATGGCTGTGACACAACTTATGCGCTTTTTAAAAAGGGAAAAAAATAATTTTTAAAAGTTTTTGAGAAACTGACACATTTGGATGAACTAGCTACAGCATTTGAGGAAGAAAATTGTTCGGCCCAGAGATTATTAGATAGTGGAACTCAAACCTTATTGGCAGTCTATAATGCTCCGAAATCTGTGAAAAGTCTCGATCATCTTCGTTATATGCATTACGTCAAGTCTACAAAACTTAATAAACCTGTGCAGCTTTCAAATATTCCATCAACTTGGTTAGGGTATGATTTGGAACCCCAGGTATGGGGTTGGGCAAAGCGAAACGATTTTCTGGAGCCTATCATGACAATTTTAACCACCTGCTCCAGAAGATTTGCTAAATTCAATGTTCTGCAACTGCAAGAGTGGTTGTGTTTCGCGATGTGGATGCAGAAAGCGGGCTTGCAATGCTCTTTAGCTTGTTGCCAATGTAATGGGCAAGCTTGTCTCAATGCTCTACCATATCAGAGCGACATTAACGAAGATGGAACCTTTGACCCCGAAATCATGGAAGAACTTGAGACAAATGTAGTTGAAGACGATAATGAAGACCAGTTTGAAATTTACCAGCAGCCGGAAGACGACGATGAAGAGAAAGAAGATGATTAAATTTATAAATTGTAGTTTTTGTACCCTTTATTCAATGTTTTTACTTTTAATAAAAATAAATGTATTGAATGATATTTTTTAATAAAAAGATTAATTCATCATTTATTTGTTTTTTTTTTTCATCATGTAAGAAGTTATTAATATTAATTAGGTTAAAATTCAAATATAATTCCTATATTTTCATTAACAATTCTGCAATTACATGGGCAGGTAAGTGTTGTTAAATAAATTAATACTGAATGAAAAGTGGATAGGTTAGGAAAAAAATGATAAAAAATATAATATAATAGTTAATAAAAACTGACAAATATTTATAATCATTGATTTATCGATAGTTCATCAACTATATATGGCGCGTTTTCGACCGGAGGCACCGGTTGACCTGAAGTGATGCTGTGACCGCGCGCTCTCCGCCCTCTATCTCGAAAACCGTTCACCGTATGAAACATTTTTTTTAAACAAAATTTGTAGAGAATTTTGTATTCTACAATATTGAAAATAAATACAAATAGCAAAAACCCCATAGGAAATGAGATATTTACAAAAAAAAAGCGAAAAAAAAAAAAAAAAAAAAAAAAAAAACGATTTTTGTGACCTTTGACCTTGAAATTTATTAGTTGCGTACACCCTACCATATGTAGGTTTTGAAACAACTTTTAGGGTGTCAATATACAAGTATTTACAGTCTTACAGCTGGGTATCTCGAATTCCGAGGTGAACTTACTATAATGACTGGACTAATGCGCCACCTACATCAACAAAAATAAATAAATAAATAAATAGCGACCACCTACATTTATATCAATGAAAAGCTAGTAAAAATTAAAAACCCCCTTGAAGATAACATGTTTATCTGAATTTATTTATTTAACGCGATTACTCTCAATTAAATACTGTCACAAATTCCAATTAATACATTTTTCCAAATTCTATATCTTTATATATTCATATTTAATAATTAATTAATTCATAAAAGGACAGTTGCCTTTATTTCAAATTCCAGTAATATAATAATTTTGTAATAAAATACTAACAATTCTCAATTTTTATAGGATATTTCCTTTCATGTGTAACAATAACAAAATTTGCTAATTTTGCTGATTTCACAAACTGTGGAAACTACAAATCAAATATCCTTAGTTGTATTAACTTGTTGAATATGCAAAATCAGCAAATGAGTCTTGAAGGTAATGTTCTAACAAACAGAAGGCAGTCAGGAAAGTCCTGAGCCCAGAGCAACATCTAAAAAGCTCCTTTGATTTTTACTTAAAAGAAATAACATTAAATAAAAAAGAATTTGTGGACGTGCCCCAAATAAATAATGCGGTAAGCATAAAAATTTTTATAATTATTTTTGTATATCTGTTCAAAAATTAATCTCTGAATTAATAAAAGTGGTAGTTTTGATTAATGATTTCATAATTATTTTTGTATGTATATTTAAAAATCTATTTCTAGATTAATAAAAGTTTTAAATTTTTATTAGTGATTTTAATTTCTTTTTTCCAACCATAGTTAAAGTAACAGTTAAATTAAATTAATAAGTACTCCTCACCAGGTTTTATTTTGGGTCGACCGGACTTTATCCAAACCTTGGAGAAGTTCGAGCTACCCGGAATACAGCTAAAGCTCGTCGTGGCGTCGTCAGATAAAATCTGAGCTACCCAAACCCCTAAAAAACTACCCTGATAAGCCACGATGTGACAATACAAAATGAAAAAAGTAATAAACATTTCTTAATCTATACCTTAAAAATAAATTCAATTTTAAAGTGATCACTTTTTTTAACCTTCATTTTTTGACACCTGGACAGGCTTATTTTGAATATTGCATTTCTGTCTGTCTGTCTTAGATAGTGAACCCATGTTGGCTTTAGAAATTTTGTAAACAATCCCATCATGGTAATATATATCTTTGGGTACAACGCACCTGTTCTGTTTCAGTACATATGCGGAACACTCTATATTATCTTTTATATCTACTATTCGTTCTGTTCCGCCTATTTTTTAGAAACAATAACAGAGTAAACTTAGTAAAGCATCACCGAAACAAATCAAATTTCGAAAATATATTTCTTCTTTGAAAAGTAATTTATTTCTAAAATAACCTTTACGAAACCGAAATAAAAAATACATTCCAGTCCTAATTGACAATTAGATGTAAATAATAATTAACATTGTGACTCTTATCATTGGCCAAGTAAACTAATTGTCATTGTCAATTAACTTTAAGTGACAGTTTATTTTTGTTGATATTAAGTATCAATTGCTCTAATTGGACAAAATATTAGAAATATCAAATTTTCTATAATAGACACTCAGTTAAATTAGGATAAAGTTGATATACAAATTTAAGTGATTCGTTAAAATTGGTAAAAACAAATTAAAATTAACTAATTTTTTTTACGTCTTCTCTATTTCATAAACGTAATTTTATACTTCTATAACAGCCATAATATATGAAATATTTTGAATGTTTTCACCATTTTAACAATCAATTAATTGTGCTAGTTTTTAAACTGATTTAACTTGAGGTTATTATGTTTTAAAATGTCCAAAAAGATTGCCGGGGCTGATGAAAGAAAATTGACAATATTTGGCAGTTTTGAGCGATCGTTGGGTCGGAAATTCCATTACAAATTAAATAAAATTTTTATTCAAACCCGTTAACAGGACCGTTGGAATGTATGGTTTTACCTGCGGGATTTAACAGTCAGGCAATTACAGTTTTGTAGTGTACACAAAGTACATTATTCCAAAACTACAGGAAAAAGTATACGTTTATACGGTCCTAATGGCTTTTATAAATTATTTCAACTATACAGTGTCCTAAAATCCAATTTATAAAAAACACATTAAAAAAAACTCCAGTAGCTCTTAGACTAACTGTATTGTTATGTATTTGTAAAAGAGTGCAGTGCGCATAGAACAAACAACTATCCGACACTATTCAGGATCAGAGGATATAGTGGCATCGCCGTTTGTATTAATAACAAGAGTGTCATCTTCATTGTAGTCGATACTCAGTACCGAAGATCTCCTAATCCGTTTCACACCACGTGTCCTCTCTACCTCGTTTTCCGAATCTGTCTGTTCTCGTTCGCACACACTAGTGTCACCATTCGCTCTACCGTTACTAGTCTTCAAAGCGCCGTTCTCCTTTTGCAGCACTTGAATAGTCTCTTTAGCTTTCTTAAGCTCCTGCTGCAAAAACAGAATGGTGCTTTGCATGCCCTCGACGTCCTCGTCTAAGTCCGCTAAGAAGGAGTCCAACTCGTTTTGGCTCTGCCTCACTTCTTCGGAGAAGCTTTTCTGCAACGCCAAGTCACTCTCTAATTTCGCTATTCTACCGGAACTCGTTATTTTGCCAAGCTCCTCGTTCTCTTGATACAGCAGGCGACATTTGGCCATGAGCCGCTTGCCCGTGTTCGAATCCGGGGTGAATTTCCACGCCGACAATTCGTTTTGGGTGTCTTCTAACTTTAGATGGGTTGCTTGTAGCTCGGATTGGAGATGATGGAGGATGCTGTTCACCGCCGGGTCTAACAGGACTGTTCTCAGGGTGGATGTGGTGGGGACTTGTGAACTCTTCAACTCGTTCAATTGACACTAAACAAGAAAATAATGCGTTATTAATAGAAAAATATATGTCTTTTAACTAATGAAGGATAAGAGAAAAGCAATCTCTACTAATTTTATTTGTAGACATATTAGTGTGGTAAAAAAATGGTGACCATAATTAGGTTAAAAATTACCGAAAATAAAATATTTGTGAAACAGAAGGTTAAGATAAGTAATTGTGTTTCAGACACTATAGAGAATAATATGTGGGTGCCTCAGGGTAGTGTTCTAGGTCCGCTACTGTTTTTAATTTATATTAATGACATTGCTGGTGCAGTCGAAAGATGCTCAATACACTCATTTGCAGATGATACACTGATATATTATACCCATGAAAACTCTGAAACTTGTTCTAAGTAAATTAATAGTTCTATAAGTAAAATATATGATTATTGTAACGGAAAAGACAAAGTGGATGGTAATTGGAGGTACTGAAAATTTAAAAAAAAAATAAATGTAACATCGCAGTGTGTTTCTGTTGATGGAATAATATTTCAGAGAGTTGAAAAATTTAAATATCTAGGGGTTATGGTTGATACAAATTTACAATTTAAGGAACATGCTAATAACGTCATCAAAAGCATATCATTTAAAATAAACTATTTGAGGCGCTGTTCTCCACATCTCAGCAAATGGGCTATAATAATAATTTATAATACTCTAATATTACCTCGTTTTAATTATTGTGCCACTATATTGTATTTGCTCAACCAGAATGAGTTGCAACGATTGCATAAATTGCAGAATAGAGGTATGAGGATAATACTGAGCTGTTCGAGATTGGAACCAATCAATTTCATGTTGAATGTGCTTCAGTGGTTTCCTGTTAAAAAATATTTGCTATTCTATTCCCTGCTATTTATATTTAAGATTAAATCGGGAATCTCCCCAGTATATTTACAAAATATTTTAAGTTATAATCAGGATGTTCGAGAACACAATACCCGAAATAAGGCCACGCAAAAATGTATACAAAATTCAGTATTTTTTAAAGGTGTACAACAGGCTTTTATAATTTGCCTGAAGATATTAAATGCTATTCAAACGGAGCAATATTTAAAATAAAACTGCATGCGTACTTGCTGACCAATTGACGTTTTCTTTTTCTTGTTCTTTTATTGTTTTTTATAGTTGACATGTAAGTGTACTGTATCTTATGTATTTTTTATTGCATTTTAAATGTATGTTCATTCTGTACTTATGTATTTTTTTATAATATAAATGTGAAGATGTATTGACATGTAAAAAATAGTTTTTTTGACTAAATAAACGATTCATATATGTATATAATTTTGTTATATAGTGCAAATTTTCAAAGTTACTCCCCCAACCACTTCTGTTCGGTAAAATATTCAAGAAAAAAGGTTGAGAATCACTGCTCTAAACATTTACAGGGGTGTAGAGAACTGTACAAAATTAAAAAACACTGGAATTGTAATAACTCACGATCTAACTCAAAAACAAAGGGAAGAAAATAAAATTTTACGTGAAAGTTTAAATCACTGCAGAAGTACAACAACCGAAAAGAGCTATAAAAAAGGAAACAAACTGCACGTTAGAAGCAAACAATATACAGTGGAATATTTAAAAGAAAACGATTATAGCAAGAAAAATCAAATAGTGCTTCACCAACCCCTATTGCTAATTTAAAGCCTGATAAAGAATTGACAATCACTCAGCCAACACTCACAGAAACACCCAAAAATAAAACTATATTATTGCAGAAATCTGTAGAGCCTTGTGATAAGAAAGACGAGAAGCCAAGAGAAGGACAAATCTTCTGTTAGTGGACAAGTTCTAAGAGAAAAATATAAAACTCGATTAAATTCAAATTCTGATAATTCTAAATTATTTTTACGAAGCCCACATACTATTTTAAATTTTTTTGGGCCAGATTGTATTGATTTTAGTTGCTATTGTATATATATTTTTATCATAAAATCAGATCATATTTTTGTGTATTTAAAAAAGTAAAAATGGATTCATATTTGCGCTTTGAGATAAATACTATTAAAATTTTTATATTAGAAAAATCTCATGAATGTAATACAATTTTAGAAGTGAATAAGGTAAATCGTAATTTCACGATTTTTCACGTAAAAATTTTGATGAATTTAAAATACTATTGCAAAAAGGTAAGTTTGATTTTGATTGTTTAGTGTTAACTGAAACCTGGTACTTAACAGATCCGAACTTTTACAATATGCCTGGATATAATTTAATATACAATCAAGGGCAACACAATCAAAATGATGGGACAATAATGTATATTAAAAATATATTTTCATTCAAACAGTCTATAATAACTAAAGGAACTATAAACTTCCTAAAAGCAGAAATTGGTAACGAAAATATATTAATAACTGCTTGTTATCGATCACCATCATCTAACGCTGACCCTATTTTAAATTTAACCAAAAATACATACAAATCGCTGGAAAGTGGGAAACCTTGCTTATGCCTATTTATAGATTGTTAATCCAAACCCTAGAAGATGTGGGGATCAGGGGAAACGTTCTAACTCTTTTTAAAAGTAACAAGAAACCAAGTGGTAAGAGTAGGGGATAACATAAGTGAAGAGGCATCTATTGAATATGGTGTACCACAGGGCACAGTCCTAGGGCCTATTTTGTTCAATCTGTATGTGAATGAGCTGTTTCGCTTAGATACAACTGGTGAAATCGTAGGATACGCAGATGATATCCATTTTTTATGGAGCAGACACTTGGCAACAACTCAAAGCAAAGGTAGACACCGACATTAAGGCAATGAAAAAATGGTTTGACCATAAGCTCTTAACAACGAATTTAAATAAGACCAAATTTTTACCTTTTAGTTGTAACGCCAGCGGAGTAACAGACTTTCAACAAATTAACATTGAAATTAATGGAAAAAATTTTGGCATTAAATCGGTTGTCGAAATGAAATATATGGGGATATATTTGGATTGTTAAGGTGGGATAGACATATTAATCAGATAGTAAAAAAATGCAGCAAATTATTTACACTTTTAAACATCTGAAAGAGTTCTTACCTATTAAATATCTAAAACAACTTTATCTCGCTCTTGTTGAAAGCCACCTTAGGTATGGAATTCCGATATGAAGCGCAGCTGCACGTACCAATATAAATACCCTTGAAACTATCCAAAAACGAATTATAAAAATTATCGTGTCAAAGCCCTCTAGGTATCAGACTGATGAATTGTATAAAATATCGGATATAATAGATTTGAGACAACTGTTCTATTACAATATATGCATTAAATACCATTCTAGTGATGATAAAGCACCTCATCCAGATCATCAGGACTACACCAGGCATCGAGAATTACTTACACACCCATTGGTAAAGAAATCATTCTCACAGAGAGCCTATTCATACATTGCCACTACATTGTACAATACTATCCCTAAAACTACCAAAATGACACAGAACACAAGTAAATTAAAAAAACACTTAAGAACATTTTTACAAAAGACTCCAAGATCCTTTTTTAATGCCTTAATAGATGAACTACATAAATAATTTTAATTGGATCCATTTTTAGCACTCTTTTAATAAATAAATATTTTGTCCATGACCACTTAATAATAAATCAATATTCTACCTCCTAACTAAAAGCATATAGTAGTACCCATATATCACGGAGTGAATTATGATAATTCACGCTTTTGTAATTCTGGCACATTCCGGTAGATAATTAAAGATAGGCGATACTTTTCATAACGATATTTTCTAGATCGAAAAATCGTAAATCGAAAAATTGAAAAGTGGAAAAAACAACAGTTAGTTAGTTACCTATGTTTAATAAAAACTTTCCATTCTACACTTAACTTTTATTTAATAAAGAAACCATAATGGTCGCGGACAAAGTATAGTATTAGACTCGCAATTTATGGCCATTATTGCTCGTTTAATAATATACTATTATTCTTTATTGTATACTTATTCTAGTTATTAGTGTAAATTTTAAATTATTATTGTTATTACTTTTTATTAATTACTAATATTTTTAAATTTAAATTTTAATCATATTTTCTATTATCGAAACAAGTACATCAGTAATTATCGATACTCTAACTTTATTTATATTTTGTATATACGTATTTTCTTTTTTCTTTATTTTATTGTACTCCATTTATAAATAAAGTTTTTATTATTATAATAGATTGTATAAAATAACCGAAAAATTATATAGACTAGACAAAAAAAGCATGTGTTGGACACATCAGATTTTTTATTGTAGAAATGTGCTTCATAAGAACTGTCCGAGTATTTTCGCGAATATTTTACTGAACTAAAGTTAGTATACTTTACATTCGGACTGTTTTATTCCAGTGTAAGAAATATAATTGATATTTAAAATTTTATAGAAATATCACTAAGAAACGTTTAAAGAAATCATCAGTTCAACTTTTAGGATTCGATCTTGAACTTAATCAGAAAAAATGTTTGGATCCGATATGAATTATTCGCTTTTACTAGATAAACACCATTAGCAAATTGGTTTTAAATTTAACGAGTACATTAAAAAACAATTTAAATGTATTTAATAAAAATTCATTCTTTATCATAAATAAAATAAACAAACTAGTGTGATCCAATAAAAGAGAAAATTGCATCTTATTCTGTACTCAATACCGCTTTTGTTTATTAATATAAGCATGACCTATAATGTGAGTTTAATTCTATTTGATTGCTCGAGAAAAAAATTCACACGGATATATCAATTAAATTAAGTACATATTTAAAAAATGCAATTTTGTACCAGCTAGGAACAATGATTTTATATACAGTATGGTTCAAATGAAAGGAATAAATTCATTATATTGGAAGTAGCTGGTTTTTCGAAAAAATGCTCGGATAGGTCAATTTTGTTTACTCAAAGCGCAATTTCTTAAATAGAATTTAATTTTCCCCCACTTCCCATTTTTAGGCAGTGACGTCATTGACAATTTTTTTAAATGGTAACCTCAATTTTTTTT